GCCGAGGGGCCGAAGGGGCCCAGGAGCTGGTCTGGCTGTGAAAGTCCACGCGGGACACGAATGACCATGCACTGCTCTCCTGGAGTCTGAAGTCCCCTTGAGACCTCCGTGTGAAGAAGGGGTTAAACACGAGCAGGAGCAGCAAGATCATCACCGTGGGGCGAGGGAGACCCCCAGGACGCTCCCTGCAGAGTCCCAGAGCCGGAGGTCAGAGAGCCCTCCAGCTGAACTTGAACGTGTCCTGTCGGAGCCCAGCTAAGGCTCCGTGGCCGGCGGGGGCCTGCCACTGGGACCAGCAGAGCCTGCGACATCCCAGATAGCGCCCGGTTCATCCGACGTCCCAGAGGGCACTTTGAGCAGCCAAGCCAAAGCCCCATGGGAAATATCCGCTCCGTCCCCGGCCAGCCAGGCCTCGCAGGTCCTGGGAGCGAGCCGTGGTTTCAGCGGCGCTGCCTCCCTGGGCTGAGCACAGAGGGGCTGTGTTGGGGCGGCCGGGACGGAGCGTGCGCCCAGGTGCGCCTCCCAGACCGGGAGGCACCGGCTCACTGTCGCAGGGGCGGTGGTCCCGAGGAGCTATCAATACTGGGGCACCCAGGGCACCAGTGTGTGCCGGAGGCAGGTGCTGCACTCCCCGGGACCCTTGCTCAGCCCCACAGCCCCAGGACTCGCAGCTGCCATCGGGTGGCTCTGGAGGGGCTTCAAGGCCTCCGAGGGGGGTGGTCTCACGGCGTCCAAGCTGCCAGGGCCCCAGGACACGCCTCCATCAGCTCGAGCCTCCCCAGGGTCACAGCGCTGGAAGCTTGGTCCAGCCCCGCCCCCACAGCCTCTGATTCAGGAGGGCCGGGTGGCCTGGAAACGCCTTTCTGTCCAGTTCCCAGGGGTGGCTGCTGCTGCCAGCCGAGGGAAGCCACTTTGAGAGCCGCTGCTCTCGCTCGCCCCAGCCTCTGACAGCTCCCCTCCCCCCCAAGCTTGCCCAACTTCCTACCAACGACCTGTACGAGAACACATTGGTGTTTTTACTGCCCCCAGGGTTCCAAGCACTTGTTTTCAGCAGGTCATGGCCATCACTGCCGCCAGGGACGGAAGGCATCGCCGACAGGTGCCGGCCGACGCCGGCCAGGGGCGTGGCTGCAGGGGGCTCTTGCCCTTAGCTGCAAAGTGTGGTCGGGGGAAGAGGTGTAAGGGACAGTGACGCTGTGGCAGCAGGACAGACCAAGAGGTGAAAAGTCAGCTCTCAGAGTCGGAACCCTTCTTGCTGCGTCTCTGCGTGTTCTCCGTCACCGGGGAACACAGCTCACGCCAGAGGAGCCGCTACACAAAGGCCGCTGTGTTATTCCCACGCGGTGCACTGAGGGGCACAGCCCACACACCTGCTGGCAGGTCCTCACTCCCCAAGCCTGACCCTCCGGATCCAGGTGCTCGCGATGTCCGGCCGGCTCTCCAAAGGTCCCTGGCCCTCGGCCACCTCCGGGCCTTGGCATGCAGGCGGTGCCTCTGCCCCGTGCGCCCCGGCCAGCTCCCCACCTGCCACCACCATCTCGCCCTGCCCACAAGACGCTGGTTCGGCGCTCTGCAAGTTCTCAGGCTCTTATCCAGCCTGCAGCTCTAAGATGCCAGCCCTGTTCTCGCGCTCAGGCCTGGACACAGCCCAGTGGGGTTTTTCCTTTGTGCGAGGGCTGGGGCAGGGTTCGTTCCAGGATCGCCGGTCTGCAGGCAGAGCGGAGGCGTGGTTCTTCCCGCTGGAGCGCAGCCACTCTGCACTGGGAGCGGGCTAAGCCCCAGAGACGGGGACTGAAAATGTGGGATTTCATCATTTAAAATGTTCTTTCTAAATGGAAGTCCGGAGGTTGCATAATCCTCATTAGGACTTTTTATTTTCCCTCTGACCCTGTGGTTTTGCTCTAAGCTGATACAGCCCTCGAGACAACAGAAGATAAATCTCCCCGGGCTGGACCACGCTGTCCTCGGAGCCTGGAAAGGGGCCTCTGTCCAGCAGAACTCCAGCTGCACGGCCAGGGCAACGTGACCCCAGGCGGGGCGCTCCACAGTGCGCCCAGGAGCAAGGGTTCCCGCAGCCATGGCAAAGGACCCCAACCATCTCAGGAGGAGATGCCCCGGAGGAGGGGACAGGTGCCTCAGCAGCTCTGCTCTAGCCATATACCCGAGCGGAACGAACCCACGCACCTGCAGCAAACCCTGCGCACAAACGCTCAGAGCAGAACTGCTCCCCCAGCCAAGTGCAGAGTCGGCCCAACGCCCAGCGAGGGACGAGCAGGCAGGCCAAACGCGGCCCCTCCACACAGGGGAGTACTCGTCGGCCACGTGAAGGAACCGATCCTCACCACCGTGTGGCTGAACCTCAGACCTGGTGCCGAGCGGCCAGAAGGCCTCATGTCGGACGGTAGTGACCAGCACGAGCCAGTCCCCGGGGTGGGGAGATCAGTGATGCTGGGGGCAGAGGGGAGGGAGTCGCCGCTTGTGCATATGGACGGTCAGACGACACCGCACATGCACCCAACGCCCTGGCGCGTGCATGTGGAAAACCACACCAGGGCATACCCCCCACAGGTCCCCAGGTCCCCAGGTCCCAGCCCATCTCCCCAGCTCATGGAGTGACATCCAAGTGTGCCTGCGTAGCATTTTCCCTTCTCAACAAGCCTCCAGCTCCTGCGTGATGCTGGCTGTAACATCTGGGACTGATCAAAAATGAGTGAGTTTGCAAAAAAAAAAAAAAAAAAATCGTCCAGAGTGGAGCGGCAGATGCAGAGGCCCCTCCCCCCCACAGCAAACCGCACTGGTGACAGGAGGGAGACAGTTCAGCTCCCACAGGCCGAGGGTCAGTGCTTGGGGTCCCACTCGCAGACACTGTCAAACGTGCCCTACAGGGGCCTCAGATCCACGGGAATTTTCAGGGGATGAAGGCTGGGGGCTTTGAGGGACCTGATGCTCCTCTTACCTCGCCCCCACCCCTGCCCATTGTCCTGTCTCCATCCCAGAGGCAGGGTCCCGGGACCTGTCAGCAGAGCCGCACCCTGGGGCACCTGCGTCCTGGCAAAGTGCCCATGCTGGGCACGTGTCTGCTTGAGTGGGTGATGCCAGCATCCCAGAGTGTGTGGGTTCAAGCCCCAGCTCCGGCTCCTGACTGCAGCCTCCTGTTAAGGCAGACCCCAGGAGGCAGTGGCAATGGCACAGTCACAGGGGACACCTGGACTGGGTCCCTGCTTTGGCCATTTTGGGCATTTGGGGAATGAATCAGCAGAGGGGAGATTTCCCTGTCTCTGTCTCAAAGAAAAAAAAAAAAGGACAGGACAGGAATATAGTTGAATCACCCACCTGGCTGGACAAACTCGGTGAAGCTGTCACTCACCGACAGGACCCTCCCTCCAGGACTGGAGTGGGGCCCAGCCGGGAGGGCCACTCTGCCTGCCCCTGGCTGCATCAGGGTGGGGTGCACGACTTTCTTGTCCCCAAGCCTGTTTCCGCCTTGTAAAAAGTGCCCACCTCACCAGGCCAGCCGGCCAGGTCAGCCGCGAACGCCCAGGGAAGATCCCGCCCGTGGCAATCGTCAGATGAACGCCAGCTGCCGGCGCTGCTCGCGCACTCCACTGCGTCTACTCTCGGCTCCTAAAGGGCTCAAGAACCGGCACTCACCACCGGCGCGTCCCCTCCTTGGCGCCTCGTCCAGCCCTGGGTGAGGGTCAGGTGCAGCCGGGCAGGGCAAAGAAGGCTGGGGAAGGAGGCCCGGAGTGCGGGGCCGGAGCCAGAGCAAGCTGGGGGAGGGGGAGACAGCAGCACACGCCAGCGGGGGGCTCTCGGGCAATCCCCTCGCCTCGTTAAGCCCCAGCTTCCTCAGCTGTGAAACAGGACCTGCGCGCCTGGTGCCCAGGTGCGTTGCGGGACTTTGCTGCAGGAAAAGCCACAGCCCCGCCCCACAGGGGCTCACCAGCCAGACAGCTCCTTCTCCCGCGTGGAAACAGCCAGACCAGGGGCGAAAACCGATACCAGGGGCCCAGCACCCTCAGCCTGTTTGCTGGAGGCCCCCCAGTCTCCCGCTGCCTCACCCAGCAGGCTGCACACCCCAGTTGGGGAAGGTGAGCTCAGCCGCGGAAGGCACCCTCAGCACACGGACCCGCTCTTGTCTGCAAGGGCCACTGGGCACTTGAACACGTTCTGGCCGCTTCCCTCAGCCGCAGCCACCCTTCCTGAAGCAGCACGGCCATGAACAGGCATCGGTGGACTCCCTCCAGGCCTGTCCACCAGCCCAACCTTGGCAAAAGGCGGCTCTGGACGGTACCACCGGGCAGCTGGCCCTGGCTCTCTCCGGCTGGGGCGGCAGCCGATCGCCCAAGACCCTCAGCTGCCAGCACAATCCTCCCCAGGCACGGGTTACACTGACGCCCACTCTGGCTACAGAGACTCCGGAAGAGCAGGAACTCCGGTGCCCCAGCTTGCACACAGCCATCCGAGGCGCTGGAGCAGGCGGAGCTCGGCCCGGCCCTCGCACCCCAGCTCTCTGACCTTGCAGGTGTGCACGAAAGGAACCCCCAAAGGGGCGTGGCCCCCACGGAGCAGCATGCGCGCCCGCCCTGGTCACCAGCCGGGCACACGTGGGTAGAACCCACTGGAACGCTGTCCAATACCAAAAGTTAACATTTAGAGGGGAAGGTTTTGTCACCCGTGCCACTGGCGTCCATCTACAGACACCCACCGCCAAGCGGGGAGCGCCGCCGAAGCCAGCAAGTCCCGCAGCGCACGCAGAGGAGCGCACAGCCTCCCGGGCGCGCACAGCCTCCGGGGCGCGCGTCTGCGCTCACGCTGGCTCCCCACCCCGGCTCCTCCACCTCCCGGGCCTGGACGAACGACCGAGCCTCCCCGGGCCTCAGTGTGTTCATCTGTAATAAGGCGCGCCCCGAGGCAGGGCTCCGAGGTGCGGGGCGAGCCCTGGGCGCAGCGGTGGCACACGGAGCTCTCGGAGGCAGGAGGGTTCGAGTAACGCTTACCTCCGCGGGGTTCCAGTCGCCGCCTCACCGGTAGCTAGCGGGCAAGTTCGGCGGGAAGAGCCGACGACACGCGGGAGACCGGGGGCGCCGACGGACGCCGAGTGGAGTCCCGAGCCCCGCTTGCCGCCTCTTGTAATCCGCCCGGGACCCGGAGGCCACGCCCTGCAAGGGCCGGGGGCGCTGATTGGCCTGGCCCTCTCTCCCCGCCCACCGCAGGGCCCCCCGGCGGGCGGAGGCTCCGGCGGCCCGCCGGGCTCCGGTGGCCTGGCCGCTGGCGCCCAGGGCTCGGCTCCAAGGCGGGCGCGTTCCTCGCCCCTCGGCTGTATTGAGTGCTTGCTATGGGCCCAGGGCGGTGCCAAGCGCTTTCCACCAGGGGTTAGCAAACTGACCAAATCCCAGCTCTCTGAGGCTGACCGGGAAAACCGGAGTAGGAAGGCGACCTCCCGAGCTTGGCAACTGGGGCGAAGCCTAGCGCTTGCAGGGTTCACACGCGCGCCCGCGCGCCATTCCCCGCCGGGCTATGGGAGGAGCAGGGGATTGCGCCATAGGCTTGGGGCAAAGCTGCCCCCCGCTCCTGTAGTCAAGGAGCCACAGACCATGTCCAAACCTGAGCTTCCTGCCAGTGGCATCTAGCACCCTCACCCTGGGCAGGTACAGTCGGGAATCAGTGCGGAGCCAGAGGGCATGATGCAGATCATCTTCCCAGGAAGAGCCCAGGGCCCCGGTGTCCTGACGTGGGCCACCGTGTGCAGCCCTGGGGTCCACGCCGCAGAAGCCCCTGCAGCGGCTGGTCGTCACAAGCCCCTCCTACACACTGGCCGGCGGCGGTGTCCCTGGGAGCCAGGCCCCGGGCTGCACCCTACTGGCGAGCAGGCGTAGGCTCTCTCTGGAATCTCAGTGTCTGGGACACCCAGGTGGGTCAGAGGACACGGCGTGGCGGGAGGATGTGAGGACAAAGACCACCTGTGTGACACACCAGTTCCAGCCAGGCGCTCTTGCCCAAGACTGCAGTGCAGTCAAAACACAGCGCTGGCGCCGCGGCTCACTAGGCTAATCCTCCGCCTGCGGCGCCGGCACCCCCAGTTCTAGTCCCGGTTGCTCCTCTTCCAGTCCAGCTCTCTGCTGTGGCCCGGGAGTGCAGTGGAGGATGGCCCAAGTGCTTGGGCCCTGCACCCCATGGGAGACCGGGAGGAAGCACCTGGCTTCGGATTGGCACAGCGCCAGCCATAGCGGCCATTTGGGGGGTGAACCAACAGAAAAGGAAGACCTTTCTCTCTGTCTCTCTAACTCTGCCTGTCAAAAATAAATAAACAAACACAATGACCTGGCCCACGCTGTGGGTTGCAGGTGGGGCCACCGCCTGCAGTTCCTGCATCCCACATGGGTGCCAGTTCGAGTCCCGGCTGCTCCACTTCAGATCCAGCTCCCCGCTTATAGCCTGGGAAAGCAGTGGAAGATGGCCCAAGTCCTTGGGTCCCTGCACCCGCGTCGGAGACCTGGAAGAAGCTCCTGGTTCCTGGCTTTTGATCGGCCCAGCTCCAGCCACTGTGACCATTTGGGGAATGAACCAGTGGATGGAAGACCTTTCTCTGTCTCTCCCTCTCCTTGTCTGTAACTCTACCTCTGAAATAAATAAATAAAAATCCTCAAAAATAAAGAAAGAAAACCAGACAGTGAGCACCCCGGAAGCCAGTACCTTTCTCATACGCGCGTCAGAGCAGCTCACTCATAAACTCCTCAGTGGACGCCGTGTGAGCCCTGGTGACTAACACGCTATCCCTCACCCAGCTCTCCCTCTGCTCGTCGTCAGGGACCCAGGCCACGCTCTCCCTCATGGGGCCCCTCCAGGGGCTGCGGTCAGTACTGCCCGGGGCTGGACGCCCACGCGGGGCACCCCAGGGCGGGCAGGCGGTGCGGGCTGTCTGCGGGGTCTCAGCGCGCGGTGGAGCGCATGCCTGCGCTGGCCTTCCCTGCAGGGCAGTCTCGGGGTAGTCAGAGTTTTTATGTGTGGCTGACTCCCTGGCACAAGCCTCCAGAGAAGCAGGTGGCAGATGCGTGACCCGTGACGGCCCCGCGGGTGGGCTGAGTCACCACGCCTGCCCAGCGCCCAGGAGGGGAGACACAGGCACACCTCGGTGCAGGCAGCGAGCCTGCTGTGAGAACACCTCCCACCGCATCCCCTCCTCACGGGGCTGGGCTAGGCCCCCGTCTTTGCAGCCTTGAGTTTGCATCCTGACCCCCACCCAGGCCCCAGCCGCGTGTCCCCACTCACGTCACCTGAACTCTGAGCTACAGCTGCTGGCCGGGCTGGATCACCCACAGGGCAGGCGGAGTCCTTGGCCTGCTCGCGGCGCCAGTTAGGCTGGGTTCAAATGCCAGCGCCCCCTCTTCCTCGCTGTCCGTCTTGAGCGGTCAGTTGCTCTGTGTTCAGTGTCCCTTCCGTAGAAGGAGGGCCACAGAACCACCCCCCTGCCCGCCCAGCTTTAAACGCTAACCATGGAGGCTAACAAGATCAAGGCCAGCGCGCACCAGCGCCAGTTAATCTTTGCTATTAGGGCCAGAATGCAAAAAGAGAGAAAGGTTAGTTTGACAGGTTTTCCATCATTTTGCAATCTCAGAATGTAATTTCCCAAAAAAATCCTGTGAATTTGGACGAGACGGTGTGTCATGGGCCATGCAGAGCTCCGGGCAGTCCTGGCTGGGAAAGGACCAGGAGGCTCCTCGGTGTCCCCCGGGGAAGGGGGCAGTCCCCAGCAGCCCGGGAAGTCCCAGCCCAGGGCCCTGTCACCACGCAGGGGGGACTGCAGTCATGGGGACTTTGGGACAAAAAGAAAAACCCCTCTGGTCACAGCGAGGAGCCCGGGCCCCGGCCACTCTCCCTGGCTGATGGAGGGACCACCCGCCTCTGCTCCAGGTCCCAGGTGCGTCACCATTCGACACCTCCAGCCTCCCCCTCCTCCCTCTGGGTGTCTCTGCAGGGCTGGGCCCTCGTCCTCACACCCCTCCCTCGCTCACCAGGTATTTCCACCGAAAGCCCTTGAACTGGACCTGAGGAGCCGTGGCGGAGGGCGCCAGGTTCCTGCTCATTCCCACCATGCCCACCCGGCAGCTGATGTCACCAGGCCTCAGCCCGGCATCAAAGACCTTGAACAGCTGGGTCACAGAGACTGGGCGTACCAGGCTGCTGGGCACGCGTTTTAGAAGGAAGACGGGGCCGGCGCCGCGGCTCACTAGGCTAATCCTCCGCCTTGTTGTGCTGGCACACCGGGTTCTAGTCCCAGTTGGGTCGCCGGATTCTGTCCCGGTTGCCCCTCTTCCAGGCCAGCTCTCTGCTGTGGCCAGGGAGTGCAGTGGAGGACGGCCCAGGTGCTTGGGCCCTGCGCCCCATGGGAGACCAGGATAAGTACCTGGCTCCTGCCATCGGATCAGCGTGGTGCGCCGGCTGCAACGGCCATTGGAGGGTGAACCAACAGCAAAAGGAAGACCTTTCTCTCTGTCTCTCTCTCTCACTGTCTACTCTGCCTGTCAAAAAAATAAAAAATAAAAAAATAAATAAAAATAGAAGGAAGACGGAGGAGCAGGGACGGTGGCAACAGCCATGGATTGGCAGGTGCCAATCGTGTGCCACCTGCTGGGGGCAGGGGAACTGGGCCGGGCAGCACACCTTACACTGCCATGCAAGAGCTGCCCCTGCCTGTGGGTGTCCTGCATCCCCCTGGGTCCTAGGGGCCAGTGCAGGCTGTGCCTCACCACCTCCCAGTCCCAACCTGCAGGAGACAGAATCCATGTGGCCCTGCTGGGAGCACAGCCCTGGGAGAACAAGGAGACGTTCACGGGTGGCACCCACGCTGGCCCAGGCCACATCCCGGGCGACACCCACAGCCCAGAGCCCACGCTAGGGTCTAAACACGCTCCCCACAACTCGGACATGGACGAGGGAGGCTTTTGGGAGGCGATGGAGCCAGGGTGAGGACCCCGTGCTGGTCCCTCTGCAGGTGGCAGCCCCTCCCGGGAGCCCAAGCCCGCGGGCGCCGTGAACTTGCCAGCCCCAGGACGGGAGTAAGGAAGTCTGTCATCCTCAAATTCCCCACCATCAGGCATTTTTTGTTACAGCAGCACACATGACTAAGCCCGCGAGCCTGGTGGCCAGGAGGGCCTAGGATTTAGCACTCCCTCGGGACACGGGCAGGAGGTGTGAGTGCCCCAGACCCGTCATCTTCGGCTGTGATGACGCAGTCGTTCCCTCTGCTTCCCAGAGGGACTCCGGCCGGCCAGGCGCGAGCTGGCTCCAGTAACGCGAAACATACCCGCCCGCTTCCCTTCCCGGCTCACAAACCGTCTCTGCTGTTGGCCACCCCTCCGAAACACGCGCTGCCCCGCGAGCCCAGCCCCCGGCCTGCTGCCGCGGAAGCAGATCCAGACAGGCCCCTGAGACCCCCCGAGGGGAGACGCAGGCAGGCGCCGGGGAAGGCACCGCGGCCGCACAGAAACTGGCTGTTCGCAGGAGCGCCCGCGCCAGCGGCTGAGCCACCGAGACACCATGACTCACGGAGGAAACCCGCACCGGCTTCGCGCGGGGCCAAGCGGAGGAGCTCCGTTAGCCCACCGCGAAGGGGGCATGTACCCAGCAAGGCACAGAGGCGGGACACCAAAGCCGATGTTTTCCAGCAAATGAACAACAGGGTCTGGGAACCGGAGCGCATTTCTAACTGGTGCCACTCACGGAGGCCTAGGCTCCAGCTTTGCTGGAGCGGTGCTGAGCGAAAGGCAACGACAGAAGGTTCCAGAAGGCGGCCAGGCCTCACTCCCGGCTCGGTCCGGCACGTCCAGCACGGCGGCCTCGCCGGCGGCCCTCCCCTGCCGCCCGGGGCTCTGCCCAGCCCCCCGCCGGCCACCTGCAGCCTCCGCGCGAGCCCTCCAGCGCGGTGCCCTGCCTGGCGCTGCCCCCTTGCTGCCTACGGAAAATCAAAATCCCAGGGAGGCGCTGGCACCCTGGCGCAGTGCCTTAAGCTGCGGCCTGCAACGCCAGCGTCCCGTACGGGCGTCGGTTCGAGTCCCGGCTGCTCCACTTCCCAACCAGCTCCCTGCTGTGGCCTCGAAAGCAGTGGAGGCTGGCCCAAGTGCTTGGTCCCTGCACCCACGTGGGAGACCCGGACGAAGC